TGGAGGAGTGTATGTCGTTTGGCGCGGTCGCTCCCATCGCACCGGCCATTCTACGCGTTTGCGAGCTGGGCAACGCTGATAGGCAGAATACAAGCAGGTCCACAATTCGGCGTCTAATAGTAGCGCTCCTATCGTCGATCGGGCTCCTATCAGCTGGATAGGCAATGGGTTGCCCGATCACCTGAAAGAGTTGTCCAGCTCGCAAACCGCGTCGAAGGGCTACGTGTTGGCAGGGATCGCGCCAAGCGACCGCTTCTCGGCCTGGAGTGTGCCCGGGCGAACATCATTCGCTGTCACCACTTGTCGCCATTCATCCTGTACGTTGTCCTTCTGCCGTCTTGCCTGTCTACCTTTATTTTGTCCTCGGTTATGTTGTTGAAGCGTCCCCAACGTTCATAACCTGTGTAAAGATCGGAGCTCCGCAGTATAGATGGAAGGATTGGCGATTCCCTGTAAGGCTATTGTCCGGACAGCGTACATGTCCCCATTAGAGCTGAGGAGGATTGAAGGAGGGCGCGCAGGAGACTGAGGAATGCTGGGCTCACGGTCTGGTCGCATCATAAACACCGCGCAGTACCACGATCTAGAGATCGAGGAGAGTTAAAGGATCCCTGTCCACGCAGGAATATGCCAGTGAATTTCAATATCCTTTCTCTTCCTTTGTCAATAGAAGATAAATTTATTACTTGTGTGCTATGACGATTGATGTGTTTTGATGTGTTCTACGATGTAACTGAGTGACTGTATACATGTGTTGCAAACTTAAGATGCCAGGCATCATATGCCAAAAGCCATCCAATAAAGGTTATGATTCAATAGTTTCGAACAAGTGCATATGAAAGGTGACGATAACAAGTCTGATAACTCTCAGAGATAACATTATTCTGGAATATCTGAAAGCCCTGCAAAGCCCTTATTCTCGGGAACTCTCTGCTATCCTGCAACGACATGCTGCATTCAATCAGACTTCATAATGCAACACCCAAGTCAACACACGTGTAAGCGTGAGCGTATTTTCCCCAATTTTCTTGCAAATAGATTTCTGCAATTCCCACATCAGATCAGTCGCAATGTCCACTTAATAATACTCAGGCTGAAATGGCCTTCTTGACGCAGGTATAGCCGGACGTCATCGCCGAGAATCAAGCTTCATCCACGGAAGAGTGTTTTTCGAAACCGACTACGATCGAAACTTTGTATGGAAGCCTCGCAGAGAATCTTTTCTGAAAATCACAGGATATACTTCTTTTCACGGAACAATAAAATATGCCGCTTGAGAAAGCTAAACTTGTTGAAATTGCGTCAGCAGTCACCCTATGAACCGCATTTCACCATGGCAGATGCCGTCCCACCATCACGTCATGTGCTTAATAAAACAAATGAAGTTGATGGTGATATGGCTGCAGTTCTCAATCGTGAACCATTATTTGCAATAACGCCCTGCACAAACGATCAAGTAGTTGACGCTGCGCTTTGGGGAATACATTAGACCAAGGACGGAGCGTAGTCGACTAAAAGTGTAGTGTATATGCCACCATTTAAAGGAAAGTTTACAAGTATTATACATCAACGCCTTCACGTAAGGTCGACTCCAAATAGAAGATCTCGAGCATAGAATTCAACGAATTAACCGGAACGCGATGAATGAATCTCATCTTACTAACCTGACTACAACTGGCACCCACATAGCAAAAGGGGAGCAGTAAGTGATTAAGTGGCGGTGCACAAAACTCTACAGGACATAATCTCGTCCGATGCCTATCTCTCTATACAATGCGATAATTTTGTATGTCGGTTTGTCCTTCCGTCCGCAGAAAATTATGTGGGTACGATGGGGATCGCGAAATGACGCATGGGCTCATTTTAACAAGGTGGGGAATATGTTACGAAATAGGAAGTCCATTGTTACTGAGTTGATCTCACCCACTAATATGGATCATTTATTGATTTGCACGCGTCAGCGTGCCCAGGCAACGCGAGAGCAGTACGACAGTGTTATCTCTCATCTAAATAATAAGAACTATCACCATGATGGGATTTCCCGCGAATCTTAGGATCCCCTCGGAGTAACACTAGAATGCAGTAGTTTCTTTGCTCCAACAATAACAAGCGAAGACGAGACCTCCTATGGGTAATCGCATAGCACCTGTATTAGCACTCATCCTCTTGAACCACATCGAGGTGTCATGATTAACTCATCGGAGTAATACTAGATTGCAGCGTTTTATTTGCTTCAACTATAAGGTCTGCAGGCGAAGACGAGGCTTGCAATGGGTAATCGCATGGCACCTAAGTTAGTAGTCATCTTCATGGACCACATCGAGGTGTCACAATTAACTAGGGGAATTCTGTCCTACAGAGGTTATATTGAAGAAGTACTCATCACTTCTTCAAAAGGATATGAAAAAAAGGAAGATCTTGTAGATACGTAGAAGAGTCCCAATTCTCACGATACTAAAATAACCTTACCAGGAAACATCCAGGAAGGGATGGATTCCCATAATAAAATTTCCCAATAAGAAAATACGGATAAGTGAAGATCACAAGGAACACTTGTGACGTCGAAAAAGCGTTTTGTCGAACATGATGTTGTATTTTATAAGAGGACATCTTATATAATGTAGGCAATCGTCGTGTGTTATCTTTTGAGACGAAGCGATTCAGCTCTTGATGCTAGAATCGGAAGTATCCTGGATAGCCGCGAATACTTTGGAGGCAATGCGAAGACGTGTGATCCTCATTGAGCCTTTCGTAACGACAGGTGAAGTGAACACTGTTATGGGCAACTCCCAGTACCCATTCGACTTGTAATCCCACCTTCTCCTACGCTATAGGATCTCCTGACATTGTCTTGAATCTACGAAAAACGGTGCCGCGAACAGCCTTGCTCTACAGTTCATCTGAAAAGATGTACGAGCTTCCAGGCACCGCCTAACTGATTCAATGCGGAGAATGTGGAGAGAAATCGCAGAGGAAACTGCAAGGACTTTGAAGAACCGCTTGGACGAAAACAGAAGAGGGTAGGCTAATCTCGCTGCTTACCCACACAGCAGCTTCTAAAGATACCGTATAGCCCAAGCATGAGAAAAGAAGCTCCAACCTTCGACTGAGTTTTGCACAGATATTTGGTACCGCCCTGGCAAAAGAATTCATGAAAACAGGGGAAATATACGGCATCAGAAGGAAACATCCTAATTCAGTCTCCCATCGCACTTAAATACCCTACGGCTCTGATAAACTCTATGATTTGATAGTTATTTATTATATCCTGAAATACCCAAAGTAGCCTATCCTTATTCATGTAGCGATAGAGGCACACAGTCGAAGGCAACGTAGTGTGAAAGCCGTGTAAAAAGGTTAGCGGAATTTTCAGTCAGGAAACTAAAGTTTTTAGCATACATCAATGAAAATGCATCAAGTTTAAATGCACGGGATGCAAAATATGCTGCTACACTCGTAAGTCCATGGCTTCAACCACTGCACTATAGCTTCACATCTTTCGCAAAGGATGCGCTTCTTCTGCGCGTCTGTCGAAAATAGGTCCGCCGCAGCAGTCGCACGCGTCGCGTTAGCCCGCCATACTTGACAGATGTCGCAGTTGTCAGTGGGACATACGATGTGCGTTTGGCCGATGCCATTCAGCCCAAAGAGAAGATAACACGGGCTCGTGCAATTCAACCGTACCACTGAAACCTGGTGGTACTGCGACGTCATCTCGATATCGCAATGGGCTGCCCTGCTCGCGAAGTGGGCGAGGTGACCTAGTAAACGTGTGCGCACAGCGTGGTGCTAGAAGAGTATGTCGATAATTAAACAACTACATAATTACTATGAAGTACCTCATCCTACAAACCTCCGTCTTCAGTAAGTAGTTTCTCTCCACAGTCATCTTTGCCCATTACTGGAGCGTCCCTAGTTTTTAAGTGCTTTCCGCCATCATCAGTGTCCATGACCAAAGCGCCTCCAGTAATTAAATACTTCCCACATTCATCCGTGTCCATGAATGAAGCGTTCCCTGTGGGCAATTCCTTCTCACAGTCATCCTTCCCCACAATCGAGGCTTGATTACGCTCAGCTACAACTCCCTTACGAAAAGTCTCGTATTGTGGACCCATGCCCCCAGTAGGTAGATTCATGCTAGATTTATCCTTGTTCATGATTGGAGCTTTACTATTCTAAAACAGAGTTATCTTGGTAAATATGCAAGTTACAGAAGGAAGCGAAAAATAGACAAGAAATATAAACAAAGCTACCTTAAGAGCGTAGGGAAAGGAAAGGAGGAAGTGTGATATTTTGTTGATTTTCATGGATTGCATTTTTTTAGAACAGAGATTCACGGAAGTTTATTTTCACTTTCTCCTCTTCACTTTCACTTATTTTCACGTTGAAGACGTACTTCGTTGAGAATTCAAGGAGCAGAAAGAAGAAAAACTGAAGAAGTATGCCGTGCGTGTACAGAATTCGAATGGCACAGAACGAATTAAAATTATTTTTTACCCGAAAATTCGCATACAGAGCGAACCGAGTTGACACATTGCACGCGGTGACCGCGCTGTCCAGTGTACGATTTCTTCGCCACATGTCTGCACGCAAAATATATTTCTATCGTACTTCGTGACTTTTGGTACTATAACAACTGCTCTGCGTATTTCCAAAAAGTTTGGAAGCTTTACTGCACTACAGCACGTTTACTGCACATTTGATAGAGAAATGGGTAAGGGAAGGGATCTGGCAGAGATATCGTGCAATAAGCATAAAGATTATGAGAAAGCGAAGGACTGATAAGCTCTAGAATTATAAAAAATGTTGGACAATTACACGACAAACTTAGCAAAAGTGATCATAGTTTAGGCCAAGCAAGAACGGCAACATGCTCCGAATTTGCGTCAATCCAACCGCCACGCGCGTACAGTACCAGGCTAAGAAATTCGCTGCGGAACTGACATGTCTTGGCTCTGTAATGGATATAGCACTCTATTAGTTTGCTCCACTGATTTGATGATGCCCCGTCATCTGCAGCCCTTATCGGTACCAGGCTAAGGAGTTCCCTGCGGGACTATCATGAAGTGGCGTTGCAATGAACCCGAACATGTCCAGGGCTCGTTATAACTCAAGCAGAAAACAAAAAAGGCTTGTTGTTTCAAGTAACAACGGAATATGGACTGTTTATCTAAACTGAGCCTTTCCTAGACATGCCTCGGTTGAACTTTCAACGGTATATACCATTAGGCAGGATGCGATGCGCGCGATAACACAAATCGAGGAACGCCACGAAACAAAACTGGGCCATGATAGAGCAGGCAAGCTGCTAGTGCAATTCCGCTCACTTACCCAGAGTAACCACTCATTCTGGTAACTGGAAGGCCTGAATGCAACTCCCCTTCATGGGAATGAAGAATGGTAAAAAGCGTAGGAGATTGTTCAAGCGAGAGGGAACATACTGCTACACGCCGGTACTGCGTGCTTTGTGCTTGGATTCCCACGGGAACGTTCGTTCCGCGCGTCTGTCAAACGTAGGTCACCCTGTCCACTTCGCATGCAACGCAGCCCACTGCGATTGGAGATGATATTGCGGAATTGCTCATTGCCAGTG